TTTCGCACGGTTTACTGTGCGAATCCTCCAAGAGCCGTCGGATGTTGGTGAACGGCTGAGAAATCCCCATTCAAAAAGTGACCTTTTAACAGAGGACATCTCGTGACCTCTGTTCAGATCCCCAGACTCGATTCCGACCCCAGAGCCCTCTCTCTCCCCAGACTCTCCTCCGACCCCCAGAGCCCTCTCCTCCCTTCTCGCCGTCGAGCCGAGAACCCAAACCCTCTCCCTCTCTTCCAAGCGTCGAGCAGCGCCGTCGAGCTCCGCAGAGAGAGACCCTCTCAGCCGTCGATCAGCGCCGACGGCTCTTGGTGAAACCATCTCGCCGTCGATCAGCGCCGACGCCCTCTCGCCGTCGATCTCCGCAGAACCCAAACCCTCTCGCTTGAATCAGGTGCGTTTTCATCTTCTTGCTTGATTCTTGCTATTCTTGTTATTTTTTCCATCGTTTACTAAACAACTCCAAGAGGATTGGACCGAATTCAAAGTTTTCCAGCCTCAATTGGGCAAATGGACAATATGAAAAAAACATAACAGCCACAATATCTGGAATAATGCAAGTCCTGGTTGAGTGTTGCCTAAATCAGTCCCAAATTGACCTATCTAATTACCCTAAGTTGGTAATTTAGCCACAATATCTGGAATGATGCAAGTCACAGTATTTGTTTGTCAATTATGTAGATTAGCGCCGTTAAACTAGTGCACAATAGTCTTTGTCAATTATGAGATGCTTCACCAGATAATAACTTTTTACGGGAAACACCCCATATAATAACTGTTTACAGGAAAGATATGTCTTATACATGAAAGATATTTGTTTATGTTTGTGCATAGTAGTCTTTGATGGTTTGTACTTGATGTTTGTTGTTGATGTTAATTTTTGTAGGTAAAAATTGTTCTTGATGTCTGATCCAATATAAACTGAAGATGGTTGCTCCCATGTTGTTGATGACTTAGTTGTGCCAATTGTTGATGAGCACTTAAAGCCAAAAATAGGAATGACTTTCGACAGTCTAGAAGACGCTGAAAAATTCTACAGAAATTACGGAAAGGTCGGAGGTTTTGATATCCGTAATAGCACAACAAATTATGGGAATGATAGAGAGTTAATTTACAAAAGTTATGTTTGTTCGAAAGAAGGAGTGTTAAAGAGCAAATCGTTGGAAATTCGACGATGTGGTACAATTAGAACAAATTGTAAGGCCTTGATTCGCTTGAAATTAGACAAAAACATTGGCATATGGAGTGTCTGCAAGTTCGTGGAAGAACATAATCATACAATTACTTCACCGAGTAGAACACATTTTCTAAGGGGAAACCGTGAGGTCACAAGTGCGAAGAAGATATTAATAAAGCAGTTTGGAGAGGTGAACATTCCAACAAACAAGCAAATAGCCTTCTTTGAAAACTCTAGCGGAGGTTTTCATAGAATTGGATGCATTGAGACCGATGTGAGAAATTATGAAAGAGATTTGAGAGAGGAGAGGCGCGGTCATGATGCACAAATGATGTTGGATCATTTCAAGTCGGAACAAGAGAAGAATTCTCCATTTTATTATGTTTATGAAGTTGATGAAGAGAAGCGCTTAACTCATTGTTTTTGGGTGGATGGCATTGCTCGAATGAATTATCAACACTTTGGCGATGTTGTCTCCTTTGATGCCACACATAACACAAATCAATATGGCTTGGTATTTGTGCCATTTGTAGGCATAAATCACCATTGGCAAAGTGTTTTTTTAGGATGTGGCTTGATCCCAAACAAAGAGGCGAAGTCTTTTGTATAGTTGTTTAACAAATGGATTGAAGCAATGGGTCATCCTCCTTCGGGCATGATTACAGATCAATGTCTTGGCATATGCAAGGCAATTGAAATAGTTTTTCCAGAAATTCGGCATAGGTTTTGCATTTGGCATATCTTGGACAAAGTTCTGGAGAAGTTGGGTCAATTGGCTTATAGAACGGAATTTATGAAATCTTTCAAAGAAAATATTTGGGACTCCGACGATGCTAGCTCTTTTGAAGAGAATTGAGTTTCAATTATTAAGAAAAATGGATTGGAAAAGCATGATTGGCTAAATGATATCTATGAAATTCGTGAAAAATGGGCTCCCGTTTATCATAAACAATACTTTTGGGCCGGAATGTCTAGCAGTCAAAGAAGTGAAGGGATGAATGCATTGCTAAAAAACATATATCAAGGAAAAATTCACTTCATGATTTTGTGATCCTATTTCAGAGGGTCTTGGCGAGACAAAGAGAGGGGGAGCTTAAAGAAGATCATTGCACAGTAGAGAAAAAGCCAAAATTGAAGACTTTTATGGTCAATGGAAAAACAAATGGTCCAAATCTACACGAAAAAAATCTTTTATATTTTTCAAGATGAGCTTCAACCTAGCTTAATGTATAACATTGAGCTAGTAAAAGAAAATAAAAGAGAAAGTACTTTCCAATTAAATTTTTGTGGTCATGATGAAAGATTGAGACATATTACATATTGCAAAACAACTAAAATGGTCCGTTGTTCGTGTCTCATGTTTGAATTCAAGGGCATTCCATGCCGACATATCTTGGCATATCTTAAAATTACCAATCATAGTGAGTTACCGGAGCAATATATTCTAAGAAGATGGTGCAAGGGTTGTTCTTAGAGATGATAATATTATTGGAGATAATGCCACAATTAATTTTGCTTCTCGTTTTAGTGAACTAAATTGCTTAGCTAATGAAATGGTCGAAGAGGGGCTATCTTCTAATGATGCATATAAATTAATGCGTGAAATGATGATGGATGCTATTAATAAGGTGCAACGTTTGAAACTCATCAATGATGAAGAAATTGGACAAGATGTGGATGCGGAGTATTCTCAAGTTATAGTTCATGAACCAAGTCAAGCAAGAACAAAAGGAAGGCCTAAAGGGAAGATGGTAAAGCCATCGAGAGAGATCCGCAGATACCGGCCTAGGAAATGCAAATTGTGTGGAAAGCGAGGACAAAATCATGATAGCAGAAATTGCCCACTAAAGTTGTCAAGGTAGTGTATCATTTGTTTTAGTAATACTATAATACTATTTCTTTAAACTTTTTTTAAGTTGGTGCAATGATCTTTAATATGTTTTGCTATAATCAAATTTTTTTTATAGTGATTCAATGGAACAAGATAACATTGATGAAGCCACGGATGATTTAGAAGATTCATTTGAGGAAGGTAATGGTTAATACATACGGAATAACTTGTACATTGCCATTTGTATTATATAATATGATTTTTTAATGTGATGAAGCACTATGTTTTTTTTTATTTTTTTAATACAGATGAAGTTCTCACTATTGCGTGAAGTTTAATCAAGGTTGGCAGAGCAAATCATATCACTATTGGTGAGAAGGGGTTGATGAAGACAGAGCACCAATGGGTTTAAGTCCATTTCATTGTTTAGTAGTTAAGTCCATTTTATTGTTTAATAGTGAATGATGTTTCATCTTTTGGTGGTTCTGTTGCTGACTTGGTGTTTAATGACTTGGTGATGAAAGATTGAGACACAATTGCTTATTTTCTCTGTATTGATAGTTATGGAATATATGGCTGGTGGTTCTGTTGCTGACTTGGTGATGAAGGCAGAGCACCAATGGGTTTAATTTTGTATCTTTGGTTATGTATTTGTGTGGTACCCCAAGTGAATGATGTTTCATCTTTTGTTTAATAGTTAAGTCCATTTCATTGTTTAGTAGTTAAGTCCATTTCTTTTGGTGGTTCTGCTTTGATTGGGTCTGTTGAGGCTTAATTGCTCTGATCGTATATTACATATGTGTCGTATTAAAGTCCGTTGAGGCTCAATAGCAGTGGGTTCAGCATGCTCATTACAGTTGCTGGAATTATAGTGTTAATGTAGAGAATCCAGCAGGTGTCAGTATTAAAGTGGCGCCTGATGAGCTTAAGGCCCTGTTTGGCAACCAAAAAAAGTGGCTTATCTAAGGGCTTGTGGCTTATTGAGTTGGTCAATAAGCTAGTAGAGCTGTTTGGTGACAAAAAATATGAAGAGATTATTTTAAAGATTGTGTCTTTTGCAATTAGCTTTTGAAAAGCTACTTGAAGTAGCGTTTGTCTTTGGAAAGAAGCTGTCAATTAAAATTCTTCCGTTTTTAACCCTAATAATCAGGCCAACCGCACCCAAAAAACCCCTCTTTCTTATTTCACGCGTGAAACTCTTCTGCCGTCAACAAAAAAATCCATCTAAGAAGGAATCGCGATTCTCCCCGATCCGATCACCGCCGCTCTCTCCCCGATCCGATCACAGACGCTCTCTCCCCGATCCGATCACCGCCGCCGATCCGATCCGCTCCGATCGACAACGATTCGATCACCGCGCTCGATCGACGTCGATCCGATCACCGCCGCTCTCTCCCCGTAAGCTAGAAAATCTCCTCACTTTTCTTCGATCGTGCCTTATTTTGTGTTTTCTAGTTTCAAAATCTCCTCACTTTTCTTCGATCGTGCCTTATTTTGTGCCGGGTATAGATCTGAGTCTCTGATCCAGTCATGACCGGGTATATATGTGCCATCTAAATTTTTTTTGCCTATGAGAGTGTTAGTTAAATTTAAATTGAACTATAACCATCTAAATATTAATTCTTTTTGTAGGAACTTTCATAATGTATAGAAATAGAGTCGAAAGTGTTGTTGATGCTCTCACGAAAAATTGCATACTATGAGCTTAATTTCCTGGCCTGCTAGCTCATGTAATCAGTGAATTTAATTTAATCTTTGTTAGAAATTATTTGTTAGAAATTGCCATATTAGAATGTAATGAATTTAATCTTTAGATGCACTGGAAGGTGCATCTGATATTCCAGTAAATATCAGATTAACCAATTGCTGGATATGTTTCTGATGGATTTAGTCCTTTGATCAAAATCCATGACCTGTTCTATTGTCTTTTACCCTGGTTCGTTGAGTTTTATTCTTGGTCCAAAGTGTGGTGAAATTATGTCACGAAGTTGTCCAAGTAGAAAGATTACTTTTACTGGTCAACAGTATTGTTTATGTTAAGCAAGCAATCATGAAGTTATAACTGGTAAGAGACTAGGTAATGGAGGTCAAGTGGTGGCTGGAGAATGTGATCACATAGACAAGTATGTTCTACATTTCTAACAACCTTGTATCCAGTTATCTTGATACTTTGGTCTAGGTTTTTGCATAGTCCAGTTATCTTGATACTTTGGTCTAGGTTTTTGCATAGTATAACTTTATACAAAATTCTGATTCCATAGTGATGGCATGGTCATTCAAGCTGCGTACTCGTATAAGATTAACAGGAGTTGTTTAACTTTTTTATGTTTTGTTGAATGGAAACCATAATCATCTGATGTTGATCTCTGCTGGATTGGAAATACAAGCTTAAAAACTTGTGCACGCATTAAAAGTGAAGGTGATATGGTATAACTTTAACTTGTTATTCTCCCTCAAAGTTAAAATCCAGAATTCATATGTCCACTAATTAAACGTGCCCAGGGTAATTATTGAAATTTGTCTCGAGTCCTATTTAGGCACTTCATTTCCTGCATGCGACTGGAAATTTCTGAGAGGCTTTATTGACATTGTTCGAGATCTCAAGGAAATCTATGCAAATCTTGTTTAAATTTTGTTTTGCCTTGTATAACTTCTGCACATTCTCATGCATATCTCTTTCCCGATCATTTTCCCTCCCTCCCCCATTTTGTGTTTCTGCACAATTTCATTCTCTTATATCAGTCCTAAATATCCTTGCAAGATTTCTATTTTTGTGTGAGGCCTTTAAGCATGCGATTTGACATGAATTTGCATGCACATGCAAAGTCTTGTGTCCTTGAATATATAGTTTGTTTCTCATTGTTTTCTCTAAAATGCATGTGACTTGACATGATTACCCAACTTATCAACCAACCACGTAGACCACATCTTGCCATATATCCTCATTGAACACTTCTATGTATGCCATTTACAGCTAAATTGTCCCAAACATAACATAAATAAGGATCAAGAGAAGTGTGTGGATGATTAAGAGACTGGAATACATGCTAATTATTTCTTAGGATGAGAGAAATTCAGATATGCCTTTTGACTTTTGTTGAAATCTGTAAAATGGAGAAATTTAGCACCCAGAAGGCATTGATGCCATAAGTATTAATCCATATTCCATAGAAATGATATTATGATTATTACCATTTAAAGCTTAAAGAAACTTTTTTTTGGGTTCATGTACAAGCCACTTCTCTAAAATGGATTCTGTACATGGATCATCCAGAGTGTAGAAATTCTTGTATTGAATTTAATCTTTCAGTTTGAAATTCTTAATTGTCAATAACTTGTCAATAATGACTTTGTTAGAAATTCTTTGTTACAAGGCATAATGACTTGTCAATAACTCTTTGTTAGAAATTCTTGTATTGAATTTAATCTTTCAGTTTGAAATTCTTAATTGTCAATAACTTGTCAATAATGACTTTGTTAGAAATTCTTTGTTACAAGGCATAATGACTTGTCAATAACTCTTTGTTAGAAATTCTTGTATTGAATTTAATCTTTCAGTTTGAAATTCTTAATTGTCAATAACTTGTCAATAATGACTTTGTTAGAAATTCTTTGTTACAAGGCATAATGACTTGTCAATAACTCTTTGTTAGAAATTCTTGTATTGAATTTAATCTTTCAGTTTGAAATTCTTAATTGTCAATAACTTGTCAATAATGACTTTGTTAGAAATTCTTTGTTACAAGGCATAATGACTTGTCAATAACTCTTTGTTAGAAATTCTTGTATTGAATTTAATCTTTCAGTTTGAAATTCTTAATTGTCAATAACTTGTCAATAATGACTTTGTTAGAAATTCTTTAAAAAACAAGTATGATCAAATGAAGAGAGATTGGAGAATTTGGAAAGGTTTGAAACAATCTGAAACTGGCCTAGGTTGGGATTACATAACTGGAAAGCTTGATTGTTCCAATGAATGGTGGGAGATAAAAATCAAGGTTAGTTGTTTTCTCACATAGTCATAATTGGTAAATTAAAGAAAAAATAATAATTTGTTTGATTTAATAGTTTATGATATTGTGTAGAAGAAACCTTAAGCTAAAAAATTTCGTAACAAAGGGGTACCACGTGCCATTGAAGAGCTATAGGATCAGCTATACTCAGATGTAGTAGCTAACGGGTTAGAATGCGTTACTCCCGGCATGAATCCTTCAAGCGTGGTTGTGAATGATGTACAATCTGGAAATGTTGAGGGGGTTCAAGAAGGTGTTGAAGAAGAGGAAACCAATAGTGAAGAGAGAGTATTTGGTGAGTATGATGATACTCAAGATCACGTTTACTCGGAATATAGTCAACACTCATCTCGCTTGGAAAACCTAGAAAGAAGTGAGGGTACTTTTTGGCATGAGTTTTCAAATGAAGTGCTTAATGCTGATAATCAACAACCTAACCAAAGCCAAGGTGTTACCCAAGTACCAACTAGTGATAGGAGGACTTCTAAAGAACCACAAAAAACTGCCACAAAAACAGTGAATTCTGTGCCAATGAAGCGTAAAAGGAGACAATCTACGGGATCAGCAATGATGAATCATCATCTTGAAAACATGGTTGCATTTTGTGGTCGTGCAGCCCAAGCACTTGAGTCAGATTGTAGTGCTCCTGATAGCGTGACAAATACTCAAACACCAGTGAATTGTGCTGTAATGGTGATGAATGTTCTTAACAATATGGATGGTTTGGAAAAGGGTAGTGCTTTGTGGTGTTATGCTGTTTATTTACTTGAGGATGCTATGAGAAGGGATTTTTTCTTTGCTATGGAGGATGATGCTTCTAGGTTGGCTTGGTTAAAGTTTATGTATGATATGAAGGTCAAGTAAACGTTTGAACTATTATGTATTTGTTTAATTAAGTGTGGTACTTTTAGATATTTCAGCCGTTGTATTTTTTTTATAAAGTGGTGAAGTTGTGTTTAATTTGGTTGCATGAATTCTTAATTTTATGGTTGTATGGACTGTTAAACTTTGTGGTTGTGTTTAATTTGCATTGTACCTTGTTTAGACTTATCTTCATTTTTTTAAACTAATCATTGTTTAGGTGTATTATGGATATGAAGAAAAGGAGGAAGAAAAAGCAGAGAATATTTTGGCTTATAACTGCATGTACAACAAGTGCTATAGCTACATATTACTACAAATACATTTACAAAGAACCATGCATGACTTCACATCAAAGAGGGGAAGATTGGATGAGAGAAATTCTAAATGGACATCCTATTCGATGTGTGAATGCCTTTAGAATGGAATCAAGAGTATTTTTGCTACTATGTGAAGAGTTACAATCCAAATATGGATTAACACCTAGTAGGAACATGACAGTGGTTGAAAAAGTGGG